GAAAAAACTACTGGATCTACACTGCTACATTCAGAAGGAAAGGTAAGAGGTAAGGGAAATAAGTGTACAGCACAGCTATAGTGGTGGTTCCTATTTAAACAATTAATGACAATAAATAGGCTTCTGTGATAATCAGCCCTATGCCATATTACTTATAAGAGAGTTGGGAATTAACTAAGGCTAAGTAATTAGCCAGAATCATTTACATACTAAGCCTCCATCAGGGAGCACCAAACTTTTGGGGCTATTAATTGATGCGTTTCTATGCACAGAATTTTTTTTTTTTTTTTTTGAGACAGAATCTCACTCTGTTGCCTGGGCTAGAGTGCCATGGCGTCAGCCTAGCTCACAGCAACCTCAAACTCCTGGGCTCAAGCAATCCTTCTACCTCAGCCTCCCGAGTAGCTGGGACTACAGGCATGCACCACCATGCTCGGCTAATTTTTTCTATATATATTTTTAGCTGTCCAGCTAATTTCTTTCTATTTTTAGTAGAGACAGGATCTCACTCTTGCTCAGGCTGGTCTCAAACTTCTGACCTTGAACAATCCTCCCGTCTCCCAGAATGCTAGGATTACAGGCATGAGCCACCTCACCCAGCCTCTGTGCATAAATTTTAAACAGATGGTAAGACTCCTGATCTTCAGGTAACTTGCCTACTTTTTTTGTTTTTGGTAAGTTCTGTGCTCCCTCTTAGGCTAAAACATGTGGCCTCCCTATCAGGTGTCATTTATTGTTGGTGCCTCTGTCCAGGAAGCAAAGATAGAAATATTGGAGTAGTCCTGACCCTCTGCCTGTCCCTCACATCCTTACTCTTTCCACTTCTCCCACTATCCAATAAATTAGCCACTTCTTCCTCTGTGGAATATATGACCAAAGTTAGTCAATTCTGTTTCCTAGGTACCTCTTAAATTCCTTCATTTTAATCAAGTTCCATTGTCCTGATTCAGATCTTTGTCATCACTACTTAAGCTTTTTATGGCTGCCCTCCATTTACTTCTGCCCCTCCCATCTTAACATTTTCCCTTATATTCATTCTCAAAATAACTACCAATACTATCATTTTCCTATTTGCAAATTTAATCATCAATTATTTGCCTAAAAACGTCAATGTCTTTTCAATGACCTGAAGATAAAGTCCAATTTCTGAATATGTCATAAAAGATCTCCATTTTCTGGCTTTGATCTGGCAATTTAGCTAATGTCTTAATACTTTATACACCAGTGATTAAGGCCTACTATCCTTGTTTTACAACTGGTAGCACTTACTGTTTTCACTGTCAGAATGTGTATTTCTCTTTCATTACTTAGTAGAACTCCTAGTCATCCTTTAAAACCCAAATACATAAATGACCTCATTATTAAAACCTGTTTTTCTCTTTTCCCTCAAATTAAATCACTCTGTCCTTAAAATTCTATAACTACACACATATGTTACCTCCGTATAGTGCAATCATTTGCTATACTGTAATGACAAATCAATTCCTTAAAATGCATCCATCTTTGTATTTCCAGCATCTAATAACATGCCTTACATTTAATAAACACTAAATACTGGAATTGATACTTGGATTGAATTGAATTGACTGCTGTCAAGAATGCTAATGGTTATTAGAATTTCTTGAATTGGGAGTACAAATTCATGCTGAATTTTCACAATACTGCTAGTCTTGATTGAGAGAAGCTGATAACCAAGTTTAAAACAGACTTCCCCCTGTGAAGAAAATATCTACAGTGAGAAATAACAAAAAAGCTCAGAAGTCTATAAAAGAGACTGGGTGATCTAGTGATTCTGTTCCTACCCAAAAACCTGCTGAGATTCCATTTGGAGGGGGAAGATTGATTTTCAGGCTTAAGTTAAACGAGGCATCAAATAAATGTCAAAAGCATGATATAGACTTAGATTCTTCACTGTCGCACCAATAAAGTTACCATCCTTTCATCCCCCTTAGAACAAATACAAGAAAGCCTGCTGTGGGCCCTGAAAAAACAGTGGCTATAAATTTACACATTTTCTTAAACTTCCATACTGTGTACTGAGAGTGTGTGCCCCATTATTAAATAAACACATGTAGGCAGAGATTTTTTTTTCTCAATTAGAGTTTTATTTTTTGAGAACATTATTGTTTTTCAATCCAGATTTAGGCACAATGTCTTATAGCTGAAAGATGTTTAAATATAAACATTTCATTATGAAGACTAAGATTAGAAATCCAGAGATTACAGTATGTTAGTAAAACTTTTTTTGTAAAGTTAGAAAGATACATTAATATCACCCCACACTATTCTTCTAGTTCAGAGAAAAAAAGCAAAATTGATAAAATGCAAAAAATATACAAAATACTTATTTTAGCTCTGTATCCGTGAAGGTTTGCTGTCTATTTTACATAATTTAAGATTGAAATAAGAAAAGCAATGAAAGGAGAAAATGTTTCAACTGCTACAACAAGCTGTCTGTTATGCTGGTTGAATTCATTCGCAAATACTACTATGACCATTTCAACTGGATGAGGTAGGCCTACTTTAACACTGTTCCTGTTTGTTTTACTCTCCAAGACCATGAAAATTTCCATAGGCATAGAAACACTTGAGTTTTAGGAGGCTTCCTAAAGTGCATATTCCTGGCCCTTGTTTCAAAAGATTCTTAAATTGATATCGGTTGGACCCAGGCATCTGCATTTTATGAATTTAGAGATTTCTGATACAATAATTCCTCACACAGCACTTTAAGAAACTCTATTTTAAGTAGGGAGATTTTTAGGGCCCAATTTGCACAGAATATACCTAGTTTATTCTTGTCCTATGTAATTCTTAATAGAATCCCTTTCCTTTCTTTCTCAAAAATTTCTGGTTTAGAGATAACCTATATAACATATATGTCCTATTAGTCTTAGGACACAAGGGCATCTTTGGGTTAGCCATAAATTTAAAGATTCTATAGAGTTTAGACCATTTCAAAAATCAGAGAAGCAGTTGATGCTTTGGGGGATATCGGGGCAAAACAATTTGCTCCAGTTACAGAGGTGTCTAATCTTTCAGAAGCACCTAAAGAACTGCCACTTTGCCCTTCAAATTCATCGTGTCCCACAAAGAAGAGGATACTATTTAATGCGTTCACCTTTCTGTCTTCTGCCTCTACTCTCTTATGCCTCACATCAAATCCACCTAGGACTCTGGTGCCTGATCCCACTTGAATTAATTTTTATTTCTTCCTATCCCAACAGGTTCAGAGGCCTCAGTAATCCACTTAAAATCACATAAATTTGTCTCGTTAGGATCCACCTACACTCCTGGAATTTGACTTAAGCCTAGCTAGTCATTCATATGTGGAAATTAGAAGAGTCATTTGAACATCAGTATTCCATTCCTGTTTTCTCACCTGTTTTGAACACATCTTTAGGCTTTTCTTTATGCTTTATGAGAAAAATTCTTACACATAGGAACCAGGACATAATTTAATATGATTTCACTATAACAGCAATCTCCATTCTGATCCCAAGAAATTTATGAATGCTTTGGAATTAGTGCAATGAGTATGTAATTCCATATTTATTTACACTTAGTGTTGTCATCATACTGATAAATTCTGTCTATAGAAAAAATATATTAATATTGCTCACATTTCCAGATGATTTTGTGATTAATAAAGCAACTATTAATATATCTTATATGTTCCACTTCCCCCATAGCAGAGAAAAAATAAAAGCACATAACCATTTAAATTTTCACCAGTTTAACATCCCATCTCATTATTGTAAGCATGACCTTTTCTTACCCCTAAGCACCAAGGTAAAGTCAAAAATTTTCAGACATTTTTGCTTCCTATCAAATGGGCAATCTTGAGGGCTCTCACCCATTACTGGAGTAGAAGCTCATGTCACAAAAACACTGCAACCACCACTTGCAGTTTATTGCCCAGGGGTGAACTGATATTGCAGGGAACACTTGGAAGATCTAAAAGGGTACTTTACCTTAAGGCTCTTTTTCTTGTCATTACTGACTAGGCTGTTATCTGTCAAGACCTGTGGAGTTTCTTTGCCTCCAACATCACTGAAATTCGCTCAACTATGTGGTTTTTCACACCAGAATTGACTTAGGGAGCCAAAGTTTCAGCTCTTTAAATGAATTCACACAACCCTTTTGCCAGGGTGAAATCCTTTCCACTAGGAGGACTAGGATGTTACAATTTCTCCGTCTTCACTAAACCATATTTCCCATTCTCCCTGTACTATCACCCAAATCTCTGTAGATGTTACAATACTAAATAAAACCTTTATTCTCTAGTAGATACTGACCAACTGTTTACCAAGCCCAATTCCTTTCTCCCTCGGTGAAAACCAATATTTGCCAGTTTCCTATTAATGCAGGTTTGGCCACATAAATGGTTTCTAGCCAATCAAGTATCAGAAGTGATGTACATCACCTGTTCTATGTATTCTTATACCTCACTCTTTCTCTTTCTGTTATCTTGCTATTAATACTTACAGTGAACTTGGACTTCGTATTTTAAAGATAAGGAAGTCGTATAGTTTAAAGGAGACTAGATCCTCCATCACCAGTTGTAGGAGATCATGTGATCAGAAAAACCCCAAATCCCATATTATGGGAATGAAGAATAGATTTTACTGTTTTAAACTTCTGACATTATATTATTATATGTTGCATGTATATTGTTATTTTAATTAATACACAAACCTGTGGAAACTTTAAGGGTCTTGAATAGGGATAGCTATCTTCACTAAAACAAGTTTTCTTAACTTTGCATCTTGTGGAAAAGAAGGGTTAGGTATACAACAGTATTCCAAGTGGCCTTGGACTGATCCAGCTCTTCTGCTTTTTTGCTTTAGTTCTGAAGAATATCTGTAGAATGTGCTGGGAATGCAATATCCGGAGATATGAAGGAACTGCCTGAAACAGCCCAGGCCTTGTTCCTGTCCCTCCTAAGGAATGTAACATCTTGAGTTAGGGAGGAACTGCCCAGGACATCCCAGGCTTTGTTCCTCTCTCCCCTAGAAGCAGGATGTCCTTCAAAGTGCTGCCCAGTGTGTCCCGTGATCCCTAAGGTATATAACCCGAAATGGGCTGCTTTTCAGCATCTTTCAGCTGCAGTGCAAAGTAGGGCACTTGTGCTCAAGACATCATCCGCCTTGGGCAGCTTTCTTGAGCCTGGTGGGACCAGCTCACAATGGATGCAAGACTTCTTCTGTACCTTGTTGCCTATCTGTAAGTAATAAACCCTTTCCCCACACTTGTCTGTGAGTGTATCCCTATCACTGGACTCATACAAATATGTAACCAGTGCATGGTGGACTTAACCAGTAGCCCAGGATACAGTGAGCATAAGTATATGTAATTCTGTTTCTGGTAGCTGATATAATGATGATCTTTGCTACTCTCCATACAGTGGGAGTCCTCTTTTGGGATTGATAATTAGGGAATCTGATTTGTACGTAGAGCCGTAGATATTTCCCTCTAAGCAAGTTATCCTAAGAGAATTTGTCATATCATCTCTAGAAGCCTTCAAGTTCTTTCAATTAATAGTTTGTCTTGAGGAAAAAAAAATAATAAATTCCTATTGGTAATCCTAAGACATGCAAATCTACTCAAAGATTTTACTAAAATCATTGTATTGTTTTAATGAATGTATGCTAAAATCAAACTATGCTTATGTAAAGGATGCTCTTTTAAAATTTAGGGCATTGAAAATGGCCACTGAACTCACAATATGTGAATCACTGAAACTCTCAGATTTTTAGGATATACTTTATGCCTGCATAATCACATTATTTTATTTGAAAACTTTAATTTTGTGCAGTCATATTCTTTTTATAATTTTTAAAATTTATTTTTAATTGAAAAATTTTAACTGTATGTATTTGTGGGGATGTTTTGATATATGTATACATGGTAGAATGATTGAATCAAGCTAATTAACATATCTATCACCTCACATACCATGTTTTCTGTAATAGATCCAAAAAACTTATTCCTCTTGTCTAACTGAAATTTTGTACCCTTTGACCAACATCTCTCCATTCTCCCCACTCCCAACCCCAGCCCATGGTAACCACCATTCTATTCTCTTCTTCTATGAGTTCAACTATTTTTTTTTTAGAATCTACATAAAAGTGATATCATGTAGTATTTGCCTTCCTGTGCCTGGATTATTTCACTTAGCATTATGTCCAGTTCTACCCATGTTGTCACAAAAGACAGAATTTCCTTCATCTTTAATGCTGAATAGTATCCCTTTGTGCATGTATACCACATTTTTTAATCTGTTTATCCATTGATGGACACTTAGGTTGATTACCTATATTGGCTATTATGAATAGTAATGTAATGAACATAGGAGTGAAAATATCCAGGACAAGGATGCTCACTCCCCACTTCTATTTACCATAGTACTGGAAGTCCTAGCCAGAGCAATTAGGCAAGTAAAAGAAATAAAATGCATTCAAATAGGAAAGGAAGAAGTGAAATTGTCTCTATTTGCTGATGACATGATCTTACATAGAGAAAACCCTAAAATATTCCACACACAAAAAAACTGTTATAACTGATAAATAAATTCGGTAAAGTTGCAGGATGCAAAATCAACATATGAAGATTAGTAGCATTTTGATACACTCACAATAAAATTTTTGAAAAATAATTTAAGAACATAATCTCATTTATAATAGCATCCAAAAAATATTTAGGAGTAAATTTAACCAAGAAGATGAAATATCTGTACACTGAAAACTATAAAAGATTGAAGAAAGTAATTTAAATAAATATTAGAATCTTGCATTCATGTATTGGAAGAATTAATATTGTTGAAACATCTACACTATCCCCAAATGATCAACAGATTCAGTGCACTTCATGTCAAAATTCCAATGGCATTTTTCAGAGAAATAGACAAAGCAATTTTAAAACGTATATGGAACCACAAAAGACCTAGAATAGCCAAAGCAATCTTAAGCAAAAAGAACAAAGCTGAAGGCATCACACTCTTTGATTTCAAAACATATTATAAAACTATAGTAATCAAAACACAATAGTACTGGCATAAAAACAGACGCATCAACCAATGGAACAGGATAGAGAGCCAGAAATAAACCCACACATTTATAGTCAATTGATTTTTGACAAAGGTGCCAAAAACACACAATGAAAAAAGAACAGTCTACTCAATAAACAATGTTGGGAAATCTGGATACCCACATGCAAAAGAATTAAATCTTATCTTTAACTCATGCCATATACAGAAATCAACTCAAAATGTATTACGGACTTAAATGTAAGTCCTGAAACTAAAAACTGACTAGAAGGAAACATAGAGGGAAAGCTCCATGACATTGTTCTAGGCAGTGATTTTTTTAAATATTACTCTAAAAGCACAGGCAAAGCAAATATAGGTACAGGCAAAAGTAGACAAATGGACTTACATCAAACTAAAAAGCAAAGGAAGCAATTAATAGACTTAAAAGACAACCCAGGGATTAGTAGAAAATATCTTCAAGCCAAACATCTGAAAAGGGGTTAATATCCAAAATATATAAGGAATTCAACTCAATAGCAAGAAAACAAATAACCTGATTTGAAAATGGGCAAAGGACCTGGATATATATTTCTCAAAAGAAGACACACAAGTGGCCAACAGGTATAAGAAATCTTAAAATCACTAATCATCAGGAAAATGCAAATTGATATGATAAGAAGATATATTGTGGTATATATCATCCCTATTAAAATGGCCATTATCAAAAAGGCCAAAGATAAAAAGTGTTGGTGACAATGTGGAGAAACGAGAACCCTGGTACACTGTTGGTGATAATGTAAATTAGTACAGCCATTATGGAAAACAGTATGGAGGTTCCCCCAAAACCTAAAAATAGAACTACCATATTACCAGAAATCCCACTCTGGTTATATATCCAAAGGAAATGAAATCAGTATGCCAGATAGATAGCTGCACTTCCATGTTCATTGCAGCATTATTCACATAGTCATATTCTTTTTCTCTCCTGCTCACCCAGTGAAGCCCCTGGGGAAGCTTCAAGGAGACATTTGGCTCAGCTGAGTACAGTTTGAAATGATAACAATAATAGTAGCTAATGTAGCGATTTCCAGGTACTAGGCACTACCTCAAGCACTTAACATAGCTTAGCATATTCAATCTTTTCAAGAACTTCATGAGGAAAGTATATTACTTTATTCATGAGAAGGTCACACAACTAGGAAATGTCAGGAATGAGTTTCAAATCTTGGCCTTATGTCTCCAGAGTCTGTGTTCTTGACCACTAGAGGATACTACTTCTTCAGTTTGAACATCACTTATCTAATGAAAACACATTATACCTAAGGGGAAAACAAGGCCAAGAGAGGCTTGGTGACTTTTCCAAAGTCAGTGTATTATGGTAGCAGAATTAGACTAAAACTTAATTTGGAAACTCATAGTACAGTATTGTGTACTATGAAGCACCATCCAACTGAAATGTGAGCATTAGCAGTCTACTTTCTTTAGCCTTGTTCTTCCTTATTTTATTAAATAAAAGGCATTTATTTTCTCATCTTTAATTTCTTTCTAAGAGTTGTTTCTTAAGTGCTTTGAGTTACTTTATTATCCTTCCCATTTACCCTTTCAAAGCAATATTGCTTTCCAAATTACCCTTTAAAAATATTCATGTGTCTCAATTTATTTAATAATGTACATTTATGTCGAATCCTTTATTGAAAGAGAAAAGGCAGAAATAAATCAAAGTGAAGTGTTGAAAGTGAACAATAAATAACCAATGAAGGAATATAGTCACTGCTTAACATAATGCCATTGGTAAGTGCCTGAAAATGATTCCAAGTCTAAGGAAAAATCTATTCTTTTACTTAGGGAAAATGAAGTATATTTTGTTTCCTAGAGTACACTCATAAATATTAGCAATTGGACACTTTAAAGACATTATAATGATAGTATGGCCCCTCACATGTACACATATAATCCAAAGAGTCATTAATGGCTCTTTTTCTGGCCTTACCATATGTGTGTGTCTGTGTATGTGTGTGTTTTCCCATAATAATTATGATAGCACCAAGATACACACACACACACACACACACACACACACCCTTTTGCTTAGTATTTAATTTGTAGTTAACAGTAATAAAAGAAATACAAAGATTTCTAATACATATATCTTCAATGTTTGCATACTTGAAATAAAAAGCATAAACATTGTTTTGAAGTTGTGATTATTAAAAATGGGATTTTGGGGTTTTCAGTTTTGATTTTATAGAATGATTTATTTTTATTTCTTGCTTAATCATAACATTACCAAAACTCTTTGGAAGACACTATTAAAAGTTTAATGTGTCTTAAATATAACTTTATAATATTTTTGTTGTTACTCCTGATAATTTGTAGAAATATATATGCTTATATATTATTTTATAGCTATACAGAAACTCTGGGATCCTTGAACATGAAATTTTGAAATATATGGCTATCCCTTGGTATCCACAGGGGATTATATCCCACAGATATCAAAATCCATGGACACCCAAGTCCCTTATATAAAATGTTGCAGTATTTTCATATCATCTTTGCACATTCTCCCACACACTTTAAATCATCTCTAAATTACTTATAATACCTAATAAAATGTAAACGCTATATAAATAGTTGTTATAGTATATTTTTAAAATTTGATTTTTTTTTATTATATTAGTATTTTTTATTTATTTATTTTTTTCCAAACTTTTCTGATCCACAATTGGTTGAATCTGCAGATGTGGACCCCACGGATATGGAGAGCTGACTATACTTTTCTTTTTCTATGCCATTGGTTTGTGGTATGCACTATAGTCTGTGAGATAGAGTAGAGCAAAGACTAAGTGGCAACCCTAACTTGAAGTACTGCACAGCACTTTCCAGTCCTACACATATGCAAAACAAACCGATGTGGCCTAAGAGATGAATCAGCTTGTTTAAGAGGCCAAAAAACCAATATAAGTAAATACAGATGTGTGTTTGGCAAACAGCTTCATCAAATTTAGTCCTCGAAAAATACACATATGTTTGCTATTAAATAGCTCATCCATAGAATGACACTCTGAAATTAGGCCATGATTTCTGAATACTCCCACTCTATTTTTTATATCTCCATAAATCCTCTGAGGACATAATATATTTAGTACAAAATAACTGCATATAGGGAATGGTGGAAGAAACTTTTTTCACTTTA